AACCGTCTGGAGCATGTGGGGCCATCCCCAGCCCAAGCCACTGAAGCCTGCTCTGCTGGGGGTCTCACCAGCATCCTCCTGTCCCTTGGACCCTCCAGTCCTTCAGGCTCAGGAGGGACATCTGTGTCTGGTCCCAGACATCCCAGAGCAGGGCTTTCACATCCCGTGCAAGCTTCTTCCCATTTTACGTGCCCCTAAACAACGCAGGGCTTGACGTCTCTGGCCCAGCACCAGTCATACTCCTGCAACCACACTTGAGACACAGTCTGGAGTCCAGCACAGGGCTAGACAGCTCCGATCCACGAACCATGCCAGCACTTAAAAAGGTGCCGTGGTGTTGGATGATGGCAGGTTCAGACAGCCCTGTCCCACCGCAGCAGGCTGGTCCCTCCATAGGAGACTGCCGTGCCCTGGCAGGGTGGAAAAAGCAACACACGACTGCCGCGGTGCCCACTCAGCAGCCTCAAAGTTAGCTCGGGCAAAGGGACTGTGGCAGGATGGTGGGGGAAGCTGGCCCAGCCTGCCCGTGGGGCACGGACCGCAGCCCATGCACCGGGCTATGGCAGCGCAGGGCCACGCTCGAGGCCAACGCCGCCAGCAACTGCCGTGGCAGCGCGAGGCACTGAATGTCTCCAAGCCACAGTCACGAAGCAGCTGCAGAGCACAGACGAGTGCCGTGAGACGAGACGAAACTCAAGCTCCTGCTCCCACAGGCATGACAGCCACCTTCAGACTGGGAGAGCAAGAGTGTCCCAGGCCCTCTCCAAAACCTTGGCCAACGGGCCAGGTCACAGCCCTCTTAAGGGCAGCAACAACCACCACCCGTCCGAAGTGCAGAATGAAGAGGCTGGCGCAGAGGGCTGCAGAAGCGAGGGAGCAGGCAGGTGACAGCCCTGACAGGAGCCAAGGGACACCGAGAGCGGGCTTGGCAGTCCCGCTCCCTCTGTAAACAGGTTTGGTGAAGTGCTGTGACGCAATCCCGCTCCGCAAGGCAGATTGCGACAGGCTGCAGAAGGAACGCTGTGTTCAGGCCAAGCTGTGTTGCTCAAGAAAAGCCTGAGATGACCACAGGGAGTCCAGGGCAAAGCAGCAGTCAGTGCCAGAGGCCCCAAAGACAAAACCAACAGCCTCCAGAAGCGTGAATGAAAAGGGGTTTTCCGGAACAAGTGACAAGCATAACCACAGCCATCTCTGATCTGTGCACCAGCAGCAAGGGGAAGAAGAGGTGCCCAGAACCTCCCAAGGGCCCAGCCTCAGGCAGAGGTCTCTGCGAGGGAAGTCCTGGTCAGCTTTGTGTGGCTTCGTCCCACAGCCCAGTACCTTGCGGCTTCCACCACTGGGAAAAGATGAATTGACTGCGAACAACATAGAGCAAGCTGCTCCCGCTCGGCTGAGGAGAGCCGGGCTGCGTCCCTCTGACCCAAGGGGTGTCCCCAGAGCAGCACACAGGACCAGGTGAGCCAAATATTTATTGACGCTCGGGCAGGACCCAGGGCCCGCAGGTTTGTTACAGGACTGTGTGCGGAGATGAGAGGAGGGCAGGGAGGGCAGACCCTCCTGTGGAGGCTGCGGTGCAGGAGGACCAAGAGAGCCGGCAGCACAGGCTGCGGGGTCCCTGGCAAAAGGGACACCCCATACACTGCTCGGCTTGTGGCTCTGGGCAGCACCACCACGGAAGGTGTGCCCTCCGCGGGGAAGCGCTGCAGCAGGAGCCAGGGCACAGGACAGCCTACAGCCCGCAGGGCGGTCCCCGCAGGGCGGTCCCCTCAGGGGCCTTCCTCACTGCCCCGCAGAGCCTTACCCAGCGCTGGTTTCTGCTGGGGAGCCCAGCCCACAGGAAAGCCAAAACATGGCCCAGGACAGCGGCACCAGTGCAGAGGCCCCCTCCCCTGCTCCCCACCAGTGCAGGCCCAGCTTCAGCCTCCCCTGACCCTTCTCAGGGGCCCAGTCCCAGCCTGCCCAGTGCTGGAAGCGTCAGGCCTGTCCCTGCCTGGCCACGGCTCCTCCTGGCTAGACCTCGGTTACGCAGCATGTCAGCACCGGTGATCTGCTCCAACCGCCTCCATGACGTTCTTGAACCCCTGCTCCCTAACCAGGGACAGTGTGCAACGGCTGAGCCGGCCCGGCACTGCGGCTTGGCCACGCAGCACCACAGCTCGTGCACCAGCCCAGAGCCACCCTGGGCCCAGCGGCTCCCTTGGGGGGTGCCTCGCCCCTCACTCACCTCAGCAGTTCCTCCAGTTCCTGCTTCACTGTCCCCACCACCAGCGGCCCGTGGTACACAAGCGCTGTGTATATCTGCACAAGCGAGGCTCCGGCACGGATCTTCTCCAGGGCATCGTGCCCGCTGCTTACCCCACCCACCCCGATGATGGGCACCCGGCCTGTGGGCAGGCACAGGGTCAGGACAGCACAGGCGATGCCAGCACGCGCCCCCAAGCCCTGCTCTGCCCCCACCTCGGGTGAGGGAGTACATCTCCCTGATGGTCTGTGTGGAGAGCTCCCGCAGCGGCTTCCCGCTGAGGCCCCCAGGCTCTGTGCGCTGCCTGCTCCGTTTTTTCGGCTCACGGTGGTGTTGCTGACAATCAGCCCGTCCACACCGAGCTGAGGGGGGCAGCAGCATGAGGCAATGGCATGAGGAAGCAGCCCTCCGCTCTCATCCCCATGCTGCCACACCAGGATGCCCCCAGCCATGTGCCCGTGGACAAAACAGCTGCCCCTCGCTGCCCAGACCGTGGCCAGCATCTGGGTGATGAACACAGGCACTCGCGGACTTAGAGCTACCCAGGACACGGTCCCCACAGCAGCCAGAGAGCTGTGGGTCTGCCTGTCCCCTCTTCAGAGAGGCGACTTGCAGGAGCACCACAGTCCCGCCCCCGCGCTGTGCGAGGCAAGGCAGGCGGCACACCCGCCCAGCTCCTCACCAGCCTCCCCCTCCCACCTCCTCACCTCGCAGACAACGCTAGCAATGTCCCTCTTGTCCTGCGCCGTGAGGTCAGGAGCGATCTTCACCAGCACGGCTGGCTTGCGCTCGCAGGGCAGTGCGTCCCTCTCCGCCAGCACCTGCAGTGGGACACGCAGGGGCACAGAGCAGCGCGTGGTGAGGGAACATCTCCTGCCCTGGGTTGGGGAGACACGTACATCCACGGGCACAGGCAGTGCGGGGACAGGCCCTGCCCTCCCTGCAGGGAGCTGCTGGTGCGAGGGGCACCCTATGGCCCAGGGCTGGGGCACATGACCCACACAGGACCACAGCGACTCCCAGTGCCATGGGGTGGCTGGCTCGCTGCCCCCTTGCAGGTAAAGAGCGGAGGGCAACGCCTCGCTGCTCATGCGCCCTTTGCTGGAGTACGGTGCCCCAGTGAACCCCACGGCAGCAGCTGATCAGTTTTCTCTGCCCACCACTCCAGGGAGCCACCACACTCCTCTGTGCGCTGGGGCAGACCCGCTGCTGGAGCAGTGCAGGTGCTGCCAGGATGCATCCAGCGCTGCAGCTGTGGTCCAGGCTGGCTGTGAGGGTCACCCACCTTGGTCAGCAGGTCCCGCAGCTCATCTCTGCCCTGCAAGTCCCGCAGCCCTGGGGTGTTCGGGCTGGACACATTCACAACCAGGTAGTCAGCCAAAGGGCCCAGCGTCCGGACCCCAGCCACGTAGTCAGCTGCGGCATCGGTAGAGCTCTTGTTCTTGCCCAGGTTGACTCCGAGGGGCATCCCCGCTGGAACACAGACATGGCTGAGCCAGGGCACCAGGACCAACCACCACCCAAGGGGCCAGAGCGCCCAACAAGGGAGGCCCCAGGACCAGCTAAAATCAAGATGGGGACATGCAGCCCACGCATTTCACAGTGGTGGGCCTGGGCCTGTCCTGCAGTTTTTTTTCCACAGCTGCCCTGGTCAGCGCCTCGCAGCACCGCAGCCTCCAGCCTGGCCACCCAGCAGAGGCCGCCCTCGGAACCTGCCCAGGCAGGGCCCTATTTCCTTTGGCTAGTCTCAGCAGACGTATCCTGTGCCCAAAGCAGCAAGCGGAGCTTCTATCACAGAGAAAACGGTAGGAGAAAGGTGCCTGGTCACAGTCCCAACAGGAGAGGCTGCAGCCCCAGGAGGATTTTTGCTGTCTGGCTGCACCTCGCTCTGGCCGGGGCCCTCCTGTGCCTGGACACTGGCATGACATGCCTTTCCCAGCCTACAGCTATGTGGGAGACCCCCAAACCCACCCTGCAGCCCCAAGAGCAAAGGCTCACAAGCTGGTCTCACCATCAGTGAGCCTGAGCTGCACCTCCTGGCGGGCCCGCAGCCTGTGCTCCACTGCAACGTGGCCGTGGCTGTTGAATCCAAACCTGCACCAGAGCAGACAAGGTTCAGGGCTGGGCTGGGCTGGTGCCTACAAGCCCCGAGCAGGACACAGGAGAAACATGAGGGAGACGTATGGTCTGTGCGGCTCTGCTCAGCACGTCCAATCCAAGAGCCACCACAGTACAGACCCCAGCACCGGGACCACTCGAATAAACGCCCCCCCTCTGGGCGGGTGGCCCGTGGGACACCGCAGAGCTGCCCCCCTCAGACCCCACCTGTTAATGACCGCCTCGTCCTCTGCCA